TATAGCATTAGTCTATATTCAGCTGAAGTCTATCTGACCTGAAAGACTATATTCTTCCAACTATATTTAATGCTCTCATTAAATATATGGTCCAGTAAGACAGCACTTGCTGCCTGGGAGCACTCAAGAGTTTCAAGAAGTAAATCTGAGAATTTATGAGTGAATCAGAATCTATGATTTCAAGATTTGTGCCTAGTGATAATATCAGTAATACTGTTAATAAAAATTAGTATTGTGAGTAACATTATTAGTGATTATAAATATTATTATACTATAATATTATTGGTATTATTATAGATTATAATATTATTAAAATTAGGATATCTATCATTCATTGATTACATATTTATTGTGTGAATAATACAGACCAGCTTTTGTGACATGTAACCTATATCATGTCAACCTAATGGGACCATGAAAACAGTATCGTTCTCATTTAACCAATTGGAAATTAGGGCTTAGAGTGTGTAAGTAATGTGCCTAAAATCGTACATTTTGAAAATGATGGGAATATCATTCAGTCCCAGATTTTTCTGATTTCAAACCCATGCTCCTAATCACTAGGCTCTCTTGCCTCTAGAAGTGTATTTTTCACAAAAGAGACACCTGTATATACAGTTCCTCATTAAGAAGAAGGTGAGATCTGTAATTTCCCAAAAGTCTTTGGATAGAAGGCTTGATTAGATGATTAGGGGTAAATAGAGAAACTAGGATACCAGCTACTTCATATAATGACAACTGAGCATAAAGTGGAATTTTTAGGACTTCAAGACAAAATCAGAAGACCCTGGCCAATGTTTTTCCTGGGCTTCCTGATTTTCATCAATGGAGAAAGGTTACAGCAACTATGGTACACTTTCAGTGGAAGGAAAAAATTGTTTTAAAATGAAGTGAATTCATGAAAACTTTATAAAATTTCTGAAAATAGATTATAGAAAATTGTACATGGGCATATTTATAACTATTTGTAAAAATGCAGGTCATTATTATTATTTTTTAAATTTTTAACCTGGAAGGGTATGCTCACAGCTGGAATGTAGGTCAGATATTCAGCAACGTGTGACATGAAAAAACATTCTCCTGGAAAGTGCAAACCCCAAAGAATTATCATTATTAGGTCCACCCAAGTTATCTGAGATGGTCCAAAGAAATTATATAAAGTGTACCTGGCACAAGCGTACATGTGTGGACCATTACCACACATGCGCGCGCACACACACACACACACACACACACACACATTTCTGAATGGAGACTGTAAGCATTGCCCTTACCTAGCTCAGTGAGAGATAAATTCAAACACTGTCACCTCCATGGTTTGAACTAATTTTTCATTTTTCTCTCCAAGAGACTTGACCTAGGATAGGGAGATAAGTCACAAGCTCAGCTCAGACATGGGGAAGAGGAGCAGTCTTTCCTTTTCGTCGCCTCTAAGACAATGACAAGGAGATCCCTCTTTACCAGCCAGATCAGGAACCCAGGGGACCACTGCCACAAGTTTCTGGTGAGAGACAATTAGGAAGTGATTGCTGTGTTTCCCTAACTATTCCCAGTGTTTGTGTGCCTTTCCCAGATACCAAAGACAGCCAACTCCTTTGAGAATAAAAATGTAAATAATTTTTATTACTTACAGATTCATTTATTTATAAAGAATTTTAATATCTTATCTATGAACTTATTTAACCATAACAATTCTTGAGGTGGATAGTTTTTTCCCCATTTTGTTGAGTTTGAGAATGGCTTTAAAGAAAATGGCCAAATGTGTTTTCACACCCAAAAGCATCAACTTCAAGCCTAAAGTCTAGTTCTTTTGTGCCACGATATCTCCTACAACAGTGGGCTCTGTAGCATATGGGCTTCTTCCTTCCCCCGTTTAATTTGGAACCAGGAAAAAAGTTTCTACTAGGCCCAGGGGAATAAGCACTTATCAAGGAGTAGAGAATTTTCTTCCTACAGAAACACTTGAATACATGCAAGAATTTTTTTGGTAGTTATGTGTCATAATTAACTAGTTATAATAATTAATTATTATTAATTAATTATTAATAATAATTCTCAGGGTCATGGAATATTCTTTTGACCACATGAGTATAAGAAATCTTCAGAAAACGAACACATTTGGATTGTCAAGAATAGAGAAGAAACAGAGATTCGTGTGGAGGAGATAGCCTTTTATTCATTATTTC